CTGCGGAACCGGTGGGGACGACCGAAGCGGCCGACGTGGGATTATCGCGGGGCGAAAAGGCGAGAGCCAGCGGACCACAGCGCGATCCTTGACTTTCGGTAATTTTCGCCCTGGCGTTGTCCCTTCGGCCGCCGCGCGCCTCCAGACCCTGAAACGGTTAAGTTTCTGCGAGTCCGAGTCCCCGTGTTCCTAGCACTCGAATCTCCGTTGGTACCACTCACCCCGTGCCGAGGTCTCCGCCGGTGCCGTCGTACCGAGTCGCCGCCGCCGTCGTACCGAGTCGGTGTACCGTCGGGTCGGAATCGTTGCCCGCGCCGGTCCGTCCACCGCCGCCATCGCATCACGTGACCGTAACTGAGGTCCGGCGCTCGCCGAGCCGCCAGAGGGTCTCGCGCGTCATCGACGACCGAGCGCGCGACGCCAGCGAACCCGTCGCGCCGCGGGTGCAGGTCGGAGAACGTGCGCGGGTGACTTACCGCCGCGCACCGTCCGTGCTCTTTCCCGCATCCTCCCCTCCATTCCGTCGCCGTCATCTCCTGTCCGTCGTCTTCGCCCAGGGGGGGGGGTCTTCTCCTGTGGCGGTCTCGATATTTTCATCCGATACATCGTCTTCTGGACACAAGACATCCTCCACTTCCGCTTCGGAAACCTTTGAATTTCCGTCTTCTCTTACTGTGTCGTCGTCGTCGTCGCCGAGCGGTGCTGTCTCTGGGATCGGACCGAGCTCCGACTCTGCAGCAGACGACAGCGCGTCGCCGCTCGGCACTCCGCCACAGTGCTGGGAGACGGTCTCCTCGACGTCTTCAGCCAACTCCTCTCCGTCTGCGCCTCCGAGAGTCGAGCCTTCGGGCTCCGGCTCCAGGGTCTGAACGTCGCTGTAGTGGCGACCGTAACAATGGCAGACAGAAGTGGAGTGACTATACAAGAACGACAACGAGACATTCGTCGGTCTCATCGGCCAAAGCGAGTTCCATCTTGTTGACCAAAATGTCTTTCACCATTTCCAGTAATATTATGTTTTCGGTCGATGTTGTTAAAGTTTGTTGCCATAATTTTTTTTTTGAAAGAAGATAATATTTGCGTTTGGATTTAATCGAGAATGAGCTAATTACAAATCGTTCAACACATAGACCGATCTCCGAGAAAATTTCCCAGACGACGGCGTGTGTTACTAGCCAGCTAGTATTTTTATCGTTCTCGTCGGCCCGCAGCATTAGAATTTCAAGCGCGTTAATAATAACAATTTTATTTTATTTGCAAACAATTCCCAACATATTGTAAATTATAAATACAGTAGTAAGTCTGCTCACCTCCTATAAGCCAAGGCTCTTAAATTAGACATTCAATTTAAATACAAATAATAACAATAAAGTACAATTAAGTACAATATGAGATTTACTTAATAGTATACATTTATGATAAACACTAAGGGCCGCTTTCACCAAATACTTTAAACTTCGATTACGCTTAAATGCTTAATCGACTGATAACAGATATTTAACAGGGCAAATTCGGCCGATTAAACCCCGGTTTAACTTTAATCGGAGTTTAAAGTAGTGGTGAAAGCGGCCCTAAGAAATAAAGGCTGACATTCTCCGCTTAGATTTTAGAACCATTTATAGAATTCAATAATGATTTATCATACAAATAAATATAATTCAAATTTCGTACATAAGGTAGCCAGGTAGGTACCTACTATTTAGTCACCTGATCAATGACGAGTACACTTGACAGTACTGATTACCTATTCTACTACAATTTACAGTGACTAACTCCACTGGTGATGTAGTAATGGGTATACCATTGACACCTACTGTACAGGTGAGCGGTTACAAAATATTTTTATATATAGCACGTAGGTATACCTTACTATATAGTAATAATGAATATAGTCAATGTTTTATAGAAACATCTTAAAATGCTAAGTAAATATTAATCTGACCACAACTCGGCTGTCACGAAACAAACTAATAAAAACTCGGGTTACAATATTTTCGATTAGACTTTTTTTGGTACCTATCTACCAGCTAGTTATCGTTGGGACGTAATTAGTAAGCACGCTGCAGTCGACATTTTACTTTTGACACTCACTTTATATATTTTATTTTCACAAACATTTAATTGATACATTTTAAATTTATTGCAATATGATTAATATAACGTACCTACCTACTTTTGAAAACGAATATTTTCAATCTGTATAAAAAATTACAATAGTTAAGTAATAAAGACATGAAAACAATGCTCATTCATCTATGTACAGGAAAATTTAAAAATCATCATATTTCGTATTACACATTTACACACCTATACTTTTTACTTCAAGCACCGGTGCCCATATAAGCCCATAGCCAATATGTAATTATCAGAATTTATCGAAAGAAGTAAATGCCTCCCTGAGCCTCACCTCTAAATACGCCACTGACTTAGCCTCTCCCATACTATGAAGCTCTGTTATGGGTTGGCGGGTTGCAAAGAGCTAACCTTGTTAGAAAGAGATGGTCAATACTCAATATCCATGCATATGAATAAATATGATTGTACCTAAATGGTGTATAGTGCTATATTTTTCTAAATAATATGTTGCTGAACTATTCTTCCTCTCTCATTATTAATGTTTGAAGTCAAATTTTTAATGATCAACCATATCTGTGTTCTCTCGTTGGTTTTTTACGATATTTTAATTTCTAAGCGAGTTATGAATGTGTAAAACATTAATATTTTAAAATGCTCATAATTCACTTAACAATCAAAACATCATAAAAAACCAACTAGAAAACCCAGATAATGTTGTTGCTCAAAAATTTGATAATAGGTCATTTCACTTCAATCTGAAAACTGACAACACCATAATGAAACTAGTGAATGAACATTTGCTGTGTGTAAGACGGAGACCACACATCATGCGGGTGCGACGTGCTCAAGATGTATGATAAATGGATATTTTATTATCTTTTTCTAACAATTTGGACACCTCTCTATTTCTCTGTTATCCGCCAATTTCTTTAAAGGCCTATGGGTTTGTTTTCCATAGACAGTTGGGTGCAATTAACAAATGCCATTGGCCGCAGTCCGAATAAATAGATTGTTTTAAAACTATATGCCTGCATGCAGTGCCTACTGGTGGAATCGATGATACACCGATAAATTAAACTTCATTATAATATTATACCCAGAACATAATATTATAATAATTAACTTTTCACATTTAAAAAAAAATATATTTTATGAAAAAATTTATATTTTGTAAAATATTAAAATAGCTGGTAGATACCAAAATACCAAATTGTACAAAACAAAAACTGGATCAAATTCCAAATAAAATTATTTAAAAATATTTTTTGGTAGGTGTACTTGACATTTTAAAAGCAATAAAACACTACTTTTATCTCTGGACTCTGGAGAATAAGCGTTTATACAAACGTACTGAAACAAAGTGTTTGATTTCCTCATTCGTTTAGATTTTATTGGATGACAGTTATTTGATTATTGACACACGTCGAGGTATATATAGGTAGTACCTACACGGCTACATCTATCTGGTATCACTCAGTATAATTATTCGAAATAATAATAACAATTAGATATGATTAGACAATACCGCTGATAGTGTAAAATATTTTTTTCTTGATTTTAATGATGGACAATTCAATTAATGTGGCATTTGTAGGTAATTACATTAGTGACATATGGTATAGGTATTGATTTTCTCAGGTTTTGTGTATGGATATGAGTGTTATTTACACACGGGGTGTGTTCATACACAACAAAATAGCACACCAAAGACTTGATTATCATTATGTAATAACAATTAATTATATAATCATAATAAATAAATAATAATACAACTAACATTGCATAATAAATGTATTTCAACACAGTTATAATTATTTTATTTATGTATATGTATAGTATGTATATTATGTATGCCTACATATATTTCATAATGATAATAATGTTATTATAAAGCTTAGCAACAATAACAACTACCGGTGTAAAAAGCTTAAAAACTACGAAAAAAAAAATTATATTTATAATAAACATATAACGAAAGATCTACATTATTATATAAACCGTATTTATAAATATTTAAAAATATCCATGTATAAATCTTTGTGTATTTATATTTTATGTATAATTTGCACTTAATTAGTGCTTAGCCACTGAGCGTTGTCGTTTAAAAAGCTTCTACGTATAAAGTGTTCTAGATTAAATCAAATTCAAGCAAAACTGAATTTCAGTCTCTTGAATAACATGTTCCCCACTATATTATTTCGTTTCAACAAAATCATAGAGTATAAAAAAAAAAAAAAAACGTGAAAAAGATGGCTTCTCCTCACCCGTGGCTAAAATAAACATTTGAATCATTTAAATGTGTTTCGCACAAAAAAATTTCGTCAACAATTGAAAAAAAAATTAATAAATACTTTGGCATGAAATGAGGTGAAATCACAATCATTTTGTTAAAAAAAAAACAAATAAAAAATTGTCAACGGTTTCGCTATATAGCCATTGACAAAATGTACCAATGCCATCTCCAGTCCGACCTCACTTTCGGTGTGAAAATAAAAAAATATTGTAAAAACGAACAAAACATATTATTCTTGGCCCTCGCTTATATTGTCATTGTAGGAACGCGTTCCATAAAGTAAGAACAATTAAGAGCCTTTTTTTTTGTTAAGTGTAATTTTGTAATACTGATATGTGGGCGGAATCGAGGGGCAAGATATTATATTATAATATTACATATATATATATATATATATTATACAGTACAAGGATATTTTGGGCTCTTTCGGGCGACTATTGAGGAACTAACGACAATTATTCATGCAAGATTAATGTATTACACGTATAAATAGAAGTAATAATAGAAGTTAATGACTAGATTTTTTTTTTTTTTTTTAAATGTATGTTTTCAAACAGCGTACTCATATGTAGATCAATTATTTAGCCAATCTTTTATGCGTGGGTGATTCATTCGTTCGTTCGTTTAGTCTTTATTTGGGAGACGGGAGGTTTTCGTTGACGGATATGGATAGTCGCCGAATGTTTGGTCGATCGTAGTCTTCCATGCTCATGCCGCGTGACAAACTGCGCCTCGGACGCTCGCCATCCGATGAACTGCCCGAGAATGTGCGCTGTCTCTCGATACCTGGCAACGTGACCGATGTGAGTAGACCTTGGCCCTTGCAGAATAACAGGATGCTTTGTGCCATTTTTGCCGGCTACGGAAAACAAATTGATCACGGTATTAAGTATCCATAATATATTATGTTAGATAAACAGACGGGCGACGGCGATCATATCATATTGTTAGTATTATTGCAGGAATGCAGCGTGATATGAATTACTATGTAACTATATAGAGTACCTATCTAGCATAGGCGCAAATTGGGGGGGACTAATCCCCCCAAACTTATCCCTACTAAATCTCCCCTCCCCCAAAAAAAACCTAGGACATACAATTTTAAAATGCTATGTTGCAATGGTCTGCTTATTGCCTTTAATATATTCAGCGCCCCCAAGTTTAAAGTTAAAATTGCGCCTAGATATACTTATGATTATGAGTTAGCTTTATTTTTCTATAAACTTAAACATTTCGCCATTTTGGTTGTTAAAGTAAACTTTTAAATAATTTGCAATGATAAAATCTGATAAACGTACCTACATTCAATTATAATTATTATAAGAGGACGCCGCACCTCCATATGTGTTATTTCAATCTTACAATCGTATAGGTACACCATAGCAATATATTTGTGTTCAGAAGTCTCAATTTTTTGTAATTTCTCAAATGGTTTAAATGGTTTAAAAATTCTCATAACTAGCTTCAAAATTAAAAAATCGTAAAAAAATCATGAGAAACTACAGATAATATCCTTATTTTTAAGTTTGATAAAAGGTAAATTCAAGCTTATTACACAACATTGGAACTGCTGAACACAAATGTGCCATGTTGTATGCTGTAGTAATGTACCTACGTTTGTAAGACGGGGACACACATGCGGTTGCTATAAATGCGCTGTTTTGGGTACGTAATCTTTGGATTTCGGAATGTTAATATTATGAATTAAATTTAGAGTTATCTTACTGCTTCTGCTAAAACATCTCCAGCTCTTTCAATTTTCAATAATGTAGCCTTATGTTTGTTCAAATCGCGATGTAACTTCTCGACAACATTAGCGTAAGAGCCCAAAACGCCAGTTACCAATAATATGTCTTGTTTGTAGTCTTTAAGCATAAGATCCTTTCGGCTATAATATTTTTTAAAGCAGCATAATTAAATTAGGTATTTATTTTTATTGACAGAATAAAAAAATTGCATATAATTTATCATACGTACGTAAGAAATGCGTTTACGTATTGTTTGAGATTTTTTGAGTTTATAGTGCCTTGAAGACGTTTTACAAACTCATTGATGACCAACTCTTTGTCCGGGTTTGTTTCATTCATAAGTTGCTATAAGTAAAGCAAATACTGGGTCAAGAACTGGTTATTATGTAATATATTATAGGTAATATTATTGACTTACATGTCCAAATTTGTGGAAAATTAAATAATCCATCGCTGATTGGCTCACAGTTGATTTCCCTTTCCAATTTACAAACTAAAATAATACCATAATATGCAACAAGTATAAATATATTAGATTTGCGTATCATGACTGATCTAGATATAACTGCAGTATACTATTGTGCGCACTCACTTTTGATTTGAAATTTTCCTTCACCGATGTAGCCGATCCAGTACAATTAATGAGTATCAATCCCAAAACTCGTGAAGGATGTGCCAAACCAAACCTTGCTACTGCATTGGCACCAGCTCCTTCTCCTAATCCAATAACATAACGAATGTGCAAAGTATCCAAAACAGCCACTAAATCTTCTCCTAGCACTTGCAATGATGGAAACTGAAAACTTTATATCAAACAAAAGTAGGAATAAAAGCCAGGTATAAAAATATTCCTACTAAAAGATCTTAAATATTATGCAACTAATCATCTGACAAAGGACTTACGAGTCGGGTAGAGTATCAGCGTTATCCTCGTGGCCAGGCACGTCAATATGAATAAATATTGATCGGTCTTTAATTTCACTCATACATGGCTGGTTGACGAAGTTCTCAAACGATATGTCTATATTAGAATATTAATTAGAAACAATTATTTCATTTAATGAATTGATACCCAAACATTTAAACTATTCGATTAAACTTACGATTGCATCCCAGGTCATGAACAGTGAGAAATATTGCTCTCTTGTCCTGCTGGGTAAGATCTCCCTAAATAAAATGAAGATTATTGTTAGATAAAAATATTCCAAATTAGAAATAATGATGGGCTTTTATTTTATAAAATTAAATTAAAGGAGCTCTTAATATATTACCTACATTATAAATGGGGTTTGTTTTAATTATTAAGATAATTTTGAAATATTCCATAAATTATTTTAATTTAAACATACACAGCCCACACAGATAAATAGAAAATAATATATATTTATACAACATATATTACGCCTATACATAGGTTATATTATTTTCATCACTAAAAAAACTAATATATTATATATTAAATTATCAATATTTATTAACATTGTAGGTTTTTAATTTCATGTCTAACCTACCTATTTATACCTATTTGTCTTAAAATAAAATAAAATAAAAAATATTTATATTTCATTCATACTAACCACAGATGGTTATTTGGTCACACGAATTAGGTACATTTTTAAATTTAAAAGTGTTATTACTACTAAATAGTTAATACAGCCTAAAGGTTATACCTATACAGACAATATTTTTATCCATCGACACAATATGGTCTAACTATTACTTAGCTAAATAATAAAATAAAATTTATTTTAAAAACGCGATTTTCAGATTACATATATAATCCACTAAGTAAAACAGAATTGAAATTGAAGTTTTTATTATTATAGTAATGTTGTAATAAATAACTTTAAAAAATAAAATGTACCTATACCTATAAAATAAATTAATGCGAATGATATTTTTTGATACAACTTAAATGCATCTGGGTTTGTCAAATTACTTGAAATTTGAAAATATTATGTAGAATTTTAGAATTTAACAAAAAAATGCTTAAATAATATTTATATTTATCATTAAAATTTAAAAAAAATTTAAAAAAACATAATAACATATTATGTTCTTATGATCTTTAATTTATTCAACAAATATAACACATTGCGCGATCGAAATCGCGTGACTTAAAAAGCATAGAAAAGAGGGTCATCAAACAATATTTTATTTACACTTATAATTTTTTTATATATTTAAAATAAACATAAAAAAAATATAAAAACAAATACAGTGAATAGGTACTTCAACCTTTACATTATAAAAGAACTTTAACATTAAAACTTTTTCTGGCTCATTTTCAGACAATTTTACCATCATTATTTTATACAAGCATAACTATTATATTTTTTGTAAGAAATATATAGGTATTAGTTGATTGTTAATTTGTTATTATTAACTTAATATAACTGTGTAATCATATTAAAAATAATATTATTAGGTGTTTTATAAATTATTTTATTTACTCTAAAATGTATTTACACTTTCCTATGAAAAAGTAAAATAAAAAAATACATTAGCTTAATTAAAACAATCGTCTAAAATTTTATGATAGGCGTCTGTTTAAATTAAAATAGAAAATCTAAATTATTATTATATTCAAATTATTGATTATTACCTGGACGTGAACGTAGACATTGCCACTTCTCTCTGTCTTGACGAGGAATTTCTGAAAAAGATAAAACAATATGTTAATTATCTGAATACTTTGCAGTATTAAAAAATTCTTTTGTGAAAATAATATAGAATATTGATAACGGATGCTAATTGTTTTTATCAATTTATTAATATTAAATACTCCAGTCGTTCTAAAATATTAATTTAATTTTCGAAGTACCTACCTATTATATGCATATAATAGGTTTTTTTGCATATTATATGTTTGAAAATAATGAAAATGTTCTACAATTAAATAAGACAGGTACTTGTTAGGTATATAGGTACCTATTATTAATCAGTTATGAGTACCTCGATACGAAAATTATGAAAACTAACTCTACATAGTATACACACGATTACACCACATTATCTGTTACTTATAGTCTATAGATACATATTATTATGTTCAATATTTTATACCTCCTCTAAAACACCCCGATGAAACTTAGATTTAGATTTAAGGAATTTCGTCGTAATTGTAGATCTGAATCAAGAATTACACAAGTTATTTTACATACTATGTACCTTTTAGGTAACATTTTACCTATCTAACCTCATTTATTTGTACTTATTTTTATCAATGCCAATATGGAATTTGAATATAGTGAACTAATGTTACATTAATGATTTATAAATAAAGTCGTTATAATATAATAGGTAGTAACTAGTCTTAATACTAGTTAACTCAATTATGCAGATTATTTTAATTAAATAACTACCTATATAGTTATTTCTATTATACTTATAGAGATTCAATAGGTACCTATACAATAATAATATTATTATTTATAGGTATATTAATTTCTTTTATCAATGTGAATATGGTATATTTTAACCAATAAAATCTATGGTATTATATTAATAAATAAATAAATAAATTATATTATTTACATATATTTATACTTTGTTGGTGTATCCTGTATATTTGTCGTGTTAACTTAAACTGTTGATACGAATAAGTAAGGAGAAATATGTTCTAAACTAATGAGTCTAAAAATATAACATGATATATTAGTATATGCTTATAACCTAATTAAATTCAATATAATAATAATAAATTCACATATTATAAATTTAAATAGCTTACGGTATCATACTTTAGAAAAACAAATGATAAATACTTGCTGTTAATCGAAACAGCACACCCACAGTTCCGTACATTGAACTTTTTATTTTATTATAAATTACTTGGATTTCAGGTATAACGTAGAACTAAACGTACCTATTAAATGTAAGCTAATAACAAAACATAGGTTAAATTTGTTGTTATCCCGCGGTAGTGGTGTTGTTAATGATAAGTACCTATGGAGCATCATTATCAACATATCTCCATAAAAAAACCTAGGTCCTCCACTTAACATATTAAAAGGAAAATTGTTGATAGGAGGCCTCACACAAATCTTAAAATTCTGCAAAAGCTCCCATCGAGGCATCGAGCAGGACAGATTGATTTTCTCTATTATAATAACAAACAATAGTAAAAAAATGTACTGTTTTTTTATTAATTCTTCTAAAATTATTATATAATTGTCCTAATAAAAAAAAAGGTGCTCTGCTGTACAGTAGGTTACAAGTGGGTCACTGTATAATGGATGGTATTAATTTGAATTCAATGATATAATATCATTGTATAAGCAAAACGATTCTGAGAGGAGACGGTATGTCAGTCTAGGTATAAAACATATTATATACATATCTATTGACTATTATCTATGGTATTAAAAAAAATTGACCTATAATAGGTACCTATAATAAATTCCAAATTAATTATATCACAATATCCATTAGGTAATTATAACGCGTTATACATCAACAGCTAACCCTGATACTATCATAGATATATAATAGTGTACTTTAGAAGTTTCAAGTACCCACGAATAATATTATACAATCACAACAAAATAACAAAAATAGTTATTCTAGGTTTTTTATCATGTAATTTCGTCCAAATTTTAACTTAAAATTACTATAAAAATAAACTGTACTTCTGTATTTTTTAGATTTTTTGGTAACAGAATTAATTACTTACGTGGAATCTTGTTTTAAATTATCATTCTTTAGGTATAAAAGTTGAACATTTTACAAATTTTTAACTACAAAATAATCATTACATTTTCAATTTGATACATTTTGTCAAAATTCGATCTTTAAATGCTTATAAAAAAAAATGTGACTAGTTATTTTTAATATTTTTCAACTGATATTGTAACAATATATCAGGAGCCTTGTATTCAATTTTTACACTTTTTTCCCAACAGATAAAACTTAATTGATATTTATAGAAAAAAAACTAAAAAAATTGAAAACTGAAAATGTCCGTAAACAGCTCAAAAAGAGTCAAAATATTTTCAAAATTGTAAGGTGTATAAATGCTAATATAAATATTCAGTGAAATTTTTATGTATCTACAGTCATTCGTTTTTGAATTACGACAAAATAAGGAAATCGCTACAGGAGAAATTGAGTGAATATCCAATGTTGTAAAAATTTGAATTTCAAACCCTCATAAAAATTTTATTTGACTTTCTTATAGACATTTTTTTTTTTTTTTGATAAAAGTAGATAATCTTATAAGGAATCTTGTATTACATTTTAAAATCTTAGATTTAAAAAGAAACATTTTTACGAATTCTTAACTCAAAATAATTTGCTAATTTTCGTGATTTTTCCATATTTTGTCAATTTTAGGACTTTAAATGCTTATAAAAAAAAACTGTGACTAAGGATTTTTAATATTTTTCATCTGCCTTTGAAACAATATACTAGAAGCCCTCTATTACATTTTCAAGCTTTTTTAACCAACCAATAAAATGTAATTGATATTTATAGAATAAAAAACTAAAAAAATTGGAAACTGAAAATTTCCCTAAACAGCTCAAAATTAGCCACAATATTTGTTTCTATAAAGGCATGGTGTATATAGAAAATGCTAAAATAAACAGTTAGTAAAAATTTCATGTATCTACGGTCATTTGTTTTAGAGAAAAACCAAAATCGATTTTTTCAAAAACAGATTTTGCGTAAAAATTCCCATTTTTTCTTAATTTTTCTTTTGTTTTTCGCAGAGCGTTTGAAAATTACTGGAAAAATTTTGACCCCCCCAAAGTACCAACTAGATTCACTTTCCTATCAGAAAAGATACTGTTGAAGAAAATCCAAGCACGTTACTATCTTAAAAGGTGATGACGGACACAAAAAAAAACAAAATATTAAAAAAAAACACACATCATTGTAAAATCAATACATTCATCGTTCCACTCAGAATCTAAAAAAAAATGTTCATGTATTTGCATCTTGAAGATTTTCATAAAAAATTGGTTAACAATTATTTAATTTTTAAATTAATAACTGTATATAGTTAAACTTGTTCAAATTTTCAAAATTGAATTATCAAATCGTATACACTAATAACTAAAACCCAAAAATACATTTTTTAAATTTTATAGGTAGCATAAATGTCAACAGGATTATTTTGAAAATTATAAAACATAAAACTAATTAGTAGTTTGACCATATAACTATACAATAATAAAAATTGTATAGTTGTTTATTGGATTGTCATCTCAAATAGTTATAATTCCTTAACGAAATTTGATAAAAAGGTTCGATATATACTGTCATGCAATGTTAAATCAATTATATTATATTTCTTTTAAAATTTCCCGTAATTATTTTTTAGAAAATTGAGATGACCCTAGGGTTTAACAGAAATACCTGATAAATTAAATTGCATACAATTAAACGTGTGAAAAAAATATGAAAATTATATGGATAGTAAATAATTTAACTAATTTAAGATTAGGTAATGTATGTCTGAAAATTTCCAAAAAGAATAATTTGAAGAAAGTTATTGCGTTTCGAATTAATTTAATCATACACAAGTTCTGTGTAATTATTTTTAAATAATGTTAGAAATAGTAGGAAAACAATATAGAATGAACTTTATATTTAAATGTCAAGTGTTGATAAATGTCTCTACCGAAGAATAAAAATGTTATCAAAAATTCTAATCAATTATTGTGATTTGTAAAATATATTTCATTGTGATTCAAACTATAAAATATGTTCTTAAAAAATAATTTGAAGGTATAAACTATTGTTATTTTAGAAACACTCTATTACTATTACTGCTGTGTGATCAACTTTTTATTAGAAAATTAAATTCTGGTAAGTTTGCTAATTTTATTAAATTTATTAAATATCTTATTTAAATGTTTTAAAATATATATGAAATAACTGATTAAAATATTTCTTATTCAATCACTACTAACTTTTGAATTACAATTAAAAAATAAAAATAGTTTATGGTCTAAATAGCTTTACGGTAGATTATGCAGGTTTTTTTAATCACTACTATACAATTATCATTTCCACATAATAGTATTACACCCCACTAAACAAAAGAAAAATATTATTGTAATTGGTAGTACAACTTCTTATCACTTCGTTCACTTTATAATATATTTGATTAAATCTTAGGCAAATTAAAAAAAAAACTACTTACAGTATGAAATGTATTTCAAAATTTTAAAAATGATTGTTATAGACATTATATTAAACACAAAAGTGTGTATTTTTAAATTATAATTTTCATAATATGAATTATTTTAGTTTAATAAAAAACAACAATGTATAATGATTGTAATAATTTATAATTTGGTGTTTTTGAGATTCTACAACCTTCATAGATCATGCAATTTTATTATTACATTGTGATGTGCTCTGTGTCACTGATAAGTCATGAATGTTTTGACAAATAGGCAGTGCTTAAAGTCTTAATAGTAATAGTCACAGGGGTGGTTGGGGTTTCACCCCTCCCTCCTCGATTTATTTGTATGTACGTGCCTGAATGACTCGTGATTGATAAATTAAATAAAAACGATTCGAAAATAATTATACAACTTGTTATAATTATACAAAAATAATTATATAATCTTGATAATTATATAATCTTGATAATTATACAACTTGGGTAGGTATAGGTATTTATAAAATATGTTGAAAACGATCATTGTTGGGTCTCTTATAGTGTTTTACGGGATCATAATATAACCGCTTATAATATTATGAAATATTAATAAGTATACCTAAATCGTAAAAATAAAATATTTTATAACTATATGGTGTGTATACTGTGTAATATTGTAGTGTGTACGTGCGTGTATACGTCGTGAAGTGTGTATTGTAAACACCGATGCCCCTAAATTGCCTATAGTTTGCGCCGTTCAACAGAGTCTTGTCGCTATGACGGAGCGGGTGTTAATAATATCGAAAGTAATGAGTAATGACACGACTACGACTTTAATTTATTATATTTTTACGATTATATATGATGAAATCATGCGGAACACTGTAATAGGTATACCATTCGTACGAATGATGGAAACTTGTTATATAAAAACAATAATTATTGCACATACAATATAATATACATATATAATATAACACAATATTATGTGTACCATCTGGAAGACGGGAAATATAAACGTATACAAACACACACACACACATATATTATATATATATATACGAGTTTCCCGCCATCGCATTCTTCTGGACAAATAATCAATACCCCGAATGTGCGCCTTAGCAATAACGACCCCCGGGGACCGCCCGCCCAAACACTGCCACCTCTCTCTAGAAACGCCTACACCACGTACCACGACGACCCCTTCCCCTCACCCACCGTATCATCACAAGTAATACCATTCATCAACACGTTTGGCCACTTTATTATTATTATTTTTATTTTCATCATTATCGCAGAAAGATCAGTCATCGTGCCATATCGCACAGAAACGTACAATATCTTGTCAGTCGAAGACACGTCATCCCATTCATGCGACCATTGTAATAATTTCGGGCCGTTTTTCTAGCTGATAACGCACAATAACAAATGTAGGTATCTATACTTACCACGAAACGAATTTTATAGCGATATGGGAGAGGAAAGTAGCGGTATCGTGTAAACAAACATTTTAAAGAAGCATAAGACCGTTCTATAACTACTAGTACGAATAGTACGATATAATAATGGTAGCTGCCGAGACCAAGGACACTTTGTCACGAGTGGGGGTGTTGGGGTCGTTTGAACAGGAGGACGCTGTGCTACATTCGTCCATATGCTGCTTGGTGCGTACACCTGCGGAAAAATGGCACGAGCATCGAATGTCATAAGAAATAACAACCCAAACAATAACGATGACCATCGTCGTCCAGGTATATAATCGTGTACATCCCATACCACTATTCGTATTATTATTATTATTATCATGCCATATCTTACTTGTGAGTCGCTCATGTTAAGTCGACGTTAGTATTGCGCGAGCGATTGCCAAGTCGGTAAAAATCCGTGTTTACGTATTTTACGCAAACGGTGCCCGCGGCGGAAAGGCTCGGTACGATCGTTGGGTTTTCCGGTCGTTTTGTTTTGATATTTTTTTCCCCGATGACGGCGGCGGCGGTGGCGGCGGCGGTAGTAGTATAGCGACGGCGACGGCAGACGTTCGGATGATGGGTGCGTTACTGTGTTAATGCTGAAGGGGTAGATGGTGTAGTGGTGTACGCGAACACGGACGGAGTTACACGACAATTCGAACGTGGCGTACAGTGTTGCCAACCCTCCGACGACCGTGTTGTATGAGCTTTTGGGATTGGCGCCGGGGGGGGGGGACGAGTCGCCCTCCCCGTAAAACATACACAACCGACGACCCGCGGGGTGCAGACATCCCACTCCATCGGAATCCAACAAACATCATACGATATTATATTATTATACTGTATTGTTATTATTGTACGACACTTATGGCGCGTGTGCTCCCTGTAAATTGGGTATAGGTACATATATACATCGTGTGTATAGTATTATATAAAAACATATTACACGTCGAGTTATATACTTAATACGTACTAAGTACCTTTTACTTGCCGGTGGTTTTTTTGCTTTGCAAAATTTATCGTCTATAGCTGGTCTACATATATACATATAGGTTTATTTCCTGCGAGGCGTGATTATAATAATTACTATATTGGTAATGGGAGCGTAAAATCTTATTCGTTGCGTGGTAGATCAGTATAAGAGAATACAATTTGTCTCGTTAGGATTATATATAAATATTATACACATATCTATATAAATTATATTATTATTTATACCAGCAGTGTTCATTCCACGAAGACGTATTTATATGCATGGGGAGAAATTTAGACTATCCCACCAGACATTTTAAACCATTTCGCCGAAATTTTACGTTCTTATATATTTCTTTAAATTATATTTTAATAATATAATCTTTATTATTCGTTAGTTCTGTATAATAAATGTTTTAAAGGTTTTGTGTTGTATATTTATGTATACATAATTATTTGTAATTATAAATACATGGTTCTATTTCTATAAAATGTTTTATGGCTAAATTATTTTATGTAAGCCACTAAAACAATGGGCGAAAAGGCTTTGCTGTTCCTGAACCTTCACAAACCTCCAAGGTATCTACTTATTTGATATTCGTAAATAAGTATCCGTGTGTGTGAAATATTTTAATTTTATGATTTTAAAATGTTTCCACGTACACCCACGTATTCGTTTATACCGAGAAACCGATACCTATCGATATTCGATACTTGCTGCGCTGTAAAGGTTTTTGAAGTTCAAAACGGTGTATTATGTCAGTGGCTATGTATATAATAATTAATAATAGTAATAATAATAATAATAGCGATTGGATACCGTGTAAATGGCCACAGGTTGTGTATAATGTATATAATACAATATAATGAGAAGTAAAAAAAAAAACTCGACTTTCCTACGTCGACCCATTAGCGTCAACATATAAATTATATACCTATATATAAACCGTAAATATATACTGTGTGCTGAGAATTTCTTATAACAATAACTATACAATTATCGGTTTCCTTGGAGACACTTTGCCAATACGGAGCGTGAATTTGCCAATCAAATAAACCCTACACGCAGTGTATATTTATATATATGTGTGTAAAATGTAGACATATAGATACGCACAGTCATGAATTATAGACATTTTTAATGTAATTGTATGTTTAAGTGCAATAGTCGAACAACAGTTTTTTACACTCGAACCATCATTTTTATTGCATATATATATATATATATATATATGCGATTGAATTAAATTTAATATATTATTCGCACACGATTACTGACAAAAAATACATCATTCTAAAAACGAATACCCCTATCTTTAAATGTACATTATGCAAATTCGTGAGGAGCTCGGTATTATGAAAAGTTGATTTAGAAATTTGGCTAAATAATGGTTTTTTTTTTAAATTTCATTATACATCATAGTATATATTAGTATATTTTATATACGACTTATGAGTTGTATGTAAATGTAATACTATGATTTATGTAATGAAAACATTTATTATTTAATTTATTCATTAACGAATATTGTTATTTTTCTGCTAATATAAATGAATATCTCTAACGATTATTATCTGATAAGTTTTAAGGCATCATTATGATTTTACTGTGCCATAAGTCATAACCGAGTATATGCTGGATACAGTGTGCTATATATATAGACTATAAAATAAGTATAATATTATAATTTATAATTTATGATATACAATATACATTTATTATAAATGCAAAAAATCATATTATTATGTTCTCACTTTCTCAGTATTATATTAAAGAGTCTCTAATAAATTGAAATTACTCATGTAGCTACAAAACAAACTATTTATGAAATTAATATTTAAGTTGGATTCTGATAAAAATAAGTAGGTATACTCAAAATACTTCATATTGTATATCATGTCACTTGACTTTTATAAAACTAACGAAAATTAATTTTTTTATGGTTTAACGCATTTATTAAACAAATTTAAGTAGTGGGATTGGACAAAACAATAAATAAGACTTCAAAGGTATTATAACAACACATTTCGTAATGAACATACTGTAAGTATTTCGAATTTATATAGCTATAATTAATATAATTATTCCAATTTGCAATATAAATGTCATCAAGTTATCTTTAATATTTAAATATATCGAATATATATAATAATTAATAACTCTGTCATTCTGAAATATTATTAAGTGCACTCAACTACACGTTCCATTAATTATACATATTATTACTACATAGTAACAACAAATATATCATAAAACTAATTAGGTTTAATCATGAAAAATCATTAACTAAAATAAATAAATCACATAAAGATTTTTTTTTTGTAAATTAGCTATAAATATTATTTATAGACTGTGTAGTATGGTATGTATAGTAGATATTATAATTTATAATTAACGTTAGCATCGATTCTTTAAGAAAAAAAATTATGAGCTCAAAAATGAGAATTCCAAAAAAAAAACACAAGTCTCGATCAGTAAAAAATGCATCTTATTTAGAACATTTTAGAGCAAAGGATATAAACTGTGAATAATTAATTTGGCAGTTTACCATAGAACCCAGAAATAAATATTGTTTTTAATTATCTTATTTATAGACAAAATATCACAACAACAACATGTTTTTTTATTTTTTACTGCACAAATGGTTACACAGCTATTAAGTAATATGAGTTTAGATGAGAATATGAGATTCCAAGAATGGAATATTATCCGAGTTCCGACCAACAACCATTTCATATTGATTTACCCTTAAACCAAACGTTTCCGCCTATATAGTCGCAATAAAACTCAGAACCCGCCTCCGCTATGATATTTCAACTTTCAAGTATACTGTATGTGGTGGTGGTCTTTAACTGCAGTTATATAAAAAATATTTACACAATCGTGTTTGGTTATAGTTCGCGTAGCTAAGACGTTTGTAATTTTAATAAAATATACCATTCACAGTTTAATCTGCTCATAAAAGGCTTTCGACTGCGGTATAAAACGGTTTTATAGCTGGTTCGGGCGGCGATGACGGACAATAGCAGAGTATATACGAAACAATGTGTGAATTAGTTCTCAAACCAGCCGTCGAACGCTGTTCGTAAATTGTTTAACATACATAATACACATTCTGGGGAAATTGACGAATAAATAAATTGATGTCAGTCTGGACGGGATGGTGATGTGCGTCAGGTACCGCGTGGTCGGATATTATAACGAGAGCAATGGGTGCATAATATATTGTAGTTGAAAATATTATGATGTTGAACAGTTCCGCGAACGAAAATTGGCAATATCAAAAAAAATATAAAAATATTATGATGATATCGTCATGCGGCCCGGATAACAATATAATGCCACCTACACGTCTCGGTCGGTTTATCAGTTTGTCCGTCAACAAGAGAATTAATTATAATAATAATAATAATAATAACAATCATACTATAATAATGCAGCATGCCGTCGTCCGTCGCATAATATTATTTTTATTTTGTTGTTTTCATTTTCCGTGCGCGGCGGCTGGCTCAAACGATTGTACACGGAGCGTTTTCCGCACACAAGTGCCAGCTGCCTCGATGTAAAATTACTCAATGGGGGCCGTCTTGTACAGTTGTACCTCAGTCCTCAGACTCAGTTGTGTACGGAAATTATTATAATTTATACAGTCAATATTTCCATAATAATATGACGTGTCACTGCAGTTGTGTTGCGTGATTTATTGGGAAATAAGGACGAGGACATGAACACGTCAATTGGTATGGTATATAGTCGCCGATTCCGGCGTATTGTGCTTACACATATTATTTTACTCTGGCCGATAAGTGGTTTTACTTTTGTTATTAATGTTTTCGTGGGAGCGGGCTAAGGCGCTGGTTCAAAACCTTGGCCGAGGGCGGATTTTTTGATTTTTCTTCGGGCGAGTCACTGTGTCCGGAGAACAAGTGCCGCCACCCCCCACCCGGGCATGGCAGATACCTACGGGTGCCCACTTGAAAATCTGGCAAAAACTACACACGCACGTGTTTACACCTAGTGTTGTTCCCACACACAGTTTAAAAACCATCCAATGGTCTAAGCTGCCACGGGTTAACTAATACAAAAAAAAAATGTTTTTGTCTTGAATCGGATATCGCTTGCGAAAAAAAGGAAGTATTTTTACTCCGTTGATGGATCTATGCGTATAACAGAAATATTGTATTACCACATGGTGCATCTCGACTATCGGTGGTATCCTAGACTCCAGACTCAGGGATTACCAAACTTTTTTATTTGATGGCACACTTCGTATTTTTTTTTATACATTTTTGGCGCACACATTGAAAAAAAACTGATTTATTATATTTTTTTTCATCACAGATGTCTTATAAGGTAACGTGTATATAAACAATTTCAATAAACATAAATAA